CTTCCAAAGTAACAATGGATTTACAAATTTTCCAAACTTCTGCGGGATTCCAAAATTATAAGACTAAGGCTACAACCATGAGGCATTTGGGGCCTGAAGAGCAGGAAACCTGCAAAAGACCATCAGATTGTGTACCCAGTTACTCACTTTGCTTTGTGTATTATGTGAAAACGGAAACCTGAGCTGACAATAATCTTTTCACCCCAAAGCTGCGTTAATTTTCCAAACGCTTTCAAAAGTAGAATAGTTAGCGCTGCAGTGCCCTCATGTGATGACACACTTCAATATCCTACACGTATCTGAAGCTGCAATTCTACCAACAGCTGCCAATCTCCTTGCCGTGCCACTATCAACATTATCATTGTTATTCTCAGGTTACATAATGGCGGGCACATATAATGGAGCAGATTAAGGGCTACATCATTTTTCAGATTTCTGCAATATGTAATATGAAAGCAAGCGCTGAATCACACCGCAACCCGAGTTACTCATGTGGAGGTAAAACGAAAAACCTGCAAATACTGGAAAACTGAAAAGAACATCGAAAGGCTGGAACTCCACCACAGGCTGACCAATGTGAAGGAGAAAAGCGGATTAATATTTCAAGCGCGACCATTCCTCAGAACTTTCCTTTCAAATTTTGAACGAACTGCTTTGCAATTCCATCCTTTTCTACTCATTGTGTACAAATATATTCTATTCAAACTTTAGATTCATCTTAAAAGTGCAAGTCTTAATTCTCCTACAGATTTGAAAAATCTAGTAAAATATATAGATCAGCCAAGATCTAATTAAATGGCGGAACAGGCTCGACGGGCTGAATGGCCGAATTGTACCTATGTTCCTATTAACTAACGTATGTATCCCAATGTAATTTTTTGGGGGATTACTGAAGCTTGACACTGCAATATCACACATAATACTGCTCCTAAAACACACATTCAAGCTAGGGTTAGTTTGAGACCTTTCGTTCCAAGCAAGTGTTAAGAATCACAGTTTTAAAATAATATTAATAATAATGGATCCTCAAGTTCTAAATAGATGTATATGCAACTGTGGAAGTTTGTAGGTAATTGCAGCTACATATTGCCCTAGCCCGGTTCCCGAGAACGTCTCTTTCAACCGCGGCAGACTTTTTGGCAATGGTGTAGTGGGAGTTTCCGGATTTTAACCCAGTGGCAATGAAGGAATAGTAATATACAACTATGTCAGAACGATAAGTGGTTCAGGGATACATGTGAAGACCTGTAGCTTAGTGGTTAGAGCATTCGCAAGCGAGAGGACCTGGGTTTGATTCCCAGACAGAGTGGAACATTGGGCAGATTTCCTTACTCCACACGCCTGTTTACTTAGCAGTAAGTAGGAACCCGGTTGTTACTCGATTGGAGAATCGCTTTTCTGGGGAGAAATAATCCCTTCAAAAACACTTTTTTTAAAATAATAATTTGGTCACTCAATCCACAACTGCTTGTGCGCAATTGGCTGCCGCTTTTCGCCCACAAAAATATAGAGTCGATTCACTTTACAGTTTACTCTGTGAAGCAGCTTTAAGGCATCCCAAAGACGTGAAAAGGTGCTATATCAAATGCAAGGATTATCATTATTGTATTGCATGGCGGTGGTGGAGTTGCTATCACATACAGTCCTTCTCCTTCTGGATGGTGGAGGTGGCAAGACTGGGAGGTGCTGTTGAAGCAAGGTTGTTGAGTTGCTGCAGTGATTCGGCAGATACAGAGTTGCCATAAGGCAGTAGTTGGGGTCCATAAAATTCCAATCAGCTTTATAATGAGGCACGATCAACGCAACGAACGCATGCGGAAAGCCATCAGGCTTTTCCAAGTTAAAAAATGGCCAACTTTCGCGTTGACACTGATGAAAATTCCTGCAAGCAGGATCCTTTTGCTCCTGGATGAACATTCCTGATGTTGATACCAACAATACTGAACCGGAGGAGAGTCACAAGAACTATTGACAGGATTTACATTCCTGGGACTCTCATCTGGAAGGGGTGCAGAAGAAAGCAGGAAGCAGCACTGATGAAAGAGAATAGCAAATACAATAGCATATAGACACACGATCATGAAGCAGGGCAATCACACCTCACAATCCAAAGTTTCCTCACCTTTCGGCAGCTGGAGCATTAAAAGCGTGCTGAATTTGTGAAGCATATTTATTCCCCTGCCTCTGCAGTCACATTTGACATTCCTCAGGGCTCGATTCTCAGTCCTCTCTTCTTCACTATCCATCCAGGTTATGTCATCTGCAGACATGGGGTTCAATTCCACATGTATGCGGTTGACAACCAACTCTCCTCGTGGAACCAGTGCAGAACCTATGTGTCTTGTTTGACTCCCAAATTTAAACCCCACCGTGCTCTGACACACTTTACTTTTCTCCAACTCTGAGACTTCGCCCACGCCTGACACCATCTCTCCCCTTGGGCTGTTCTCTTTGACCGTGCCTTCAGCTCCCCTCTCGACTCTCTTCCCCCTCCTCGCTCCCTCCCTTCCCTCCCCTCACCCTGACCATTTCCCCGCTCCTCTCTCCCTCCCTTCCCTCCCCTCACCCTGACCATTTCCCCCCTCCTCGCTCCCTCCCTTCCCTCCCCTCACCCTGACCATTTCCCCCCTGCTCGGGTCATGACCCAACTGTGCAGCGCCTTGGGACGTCCTCCTGACGTGAAAGGCGCTTTATAAATGGAATCTTGTTGTTGTTGTTGTTGTCGAGATCCTCATCACATCAGTTTATCATATCTAGGCTGACGACACCTACATCATACTCCCCAGCGCTTCCCTATACAAGCTGCCCTCACCTCGTTCAAGACCAGTTTCAGGATCTGCCACCTTGACCTGCTTTTGGTCAACATTTGATAGAAATTATAATCCCACGAGATCAATTGCCAATTCAAATAAAAAAGAAAGCAAACCATTGACTGTAGAGTTGTACAAAACACAAAATACTGCAGATGCTGGAAATCTGAAACAAAAACAGAGAGAGCTGGGAAAGCTCAGCAGGTCAGGCAGCATCTATGGAGAAAGGAAAGTGAGTCAACGTTTCGGGTCCACGACCCTTCGTCAGAACTGACAAAGGACTGATGAAGTTCTGACGAAGTTCTGACGAAGGGTTGTGGACCCGAAACGTTGACTCACTTTCCTTTCTCCATAGATGCTGCCTGACCTGCTGAGTGTTCCCAGCTCTCTCTCTTTTTGATTTTAGAGTTGTATTATGCTCCATTTTTATACCTAAAAGCATATTTAATAGAGGCAATACATACAATAGTTTCTCAAACTGCTTCTGTCCTTCACACAATCAAAATTGTCTGATAAATTTACTAAGTTTCCACATAATAAACCAGGTTAAAGTTGATATGTAACCTCAGGCAAGGAAACAAGACTCTTTGTCTTCACAAAAGATACATCATCCATTAACGAACCTTACAAACTAATAGAGGGTAGGTGCACAACACTGATTTCACACACAAAATGTTTAGTTTCAGATGGGAGTAGAGCTTACCAGTCTCCCTGCTGGTGGATGTATAGGTATCAATGATAGGGTGGGCTACCTGGCCAATTCTCACCAAACGAAACACGTTTCAGTATTAAGATAGATCTCTGTACAAAGGGAGGTTAATGTCCGAGTACAAATGGCCCTCCATATGTTCACATCTGTCTGTCATTTACAGAATCCTGGCAAAGACCCGAGAGATGATCATCGCCATTCCCTTGCCAGGTGATTTGTGCATTTTCTCCCACAAAATATACAGTCAAGTCACTTTTTAGTATATTCTGTGAAGCGCTTTCATACGTCTCGAAGATGTGATAAGGCACTATATCAAATGCAAGGATTATTATTATTAACAATCCAAAATGTGGAGAATAATAAATACAATTAAATAAAGTTTAATTATAAAATTTGAGAGGGGAGGGGGAATAATCAACTGACGCCGGTTCAGATATTTGCCATCGTTATCTTATGATATTGCACTTGTCAGAGTATTACTTTTCCACAGACTTCTTTTCTGTTTCATTGAAAGAGACCACAATGAATCCTGGCACAAATCAGTGTCATAAGATCTGTGAAAATCTAACAAACAAAATCCGCCATGGAATTATCAGAAGCCAGATTCAAAGACTGTTTTTCCTTTGAAATGAATCCTTAAGAGTGTCCCCAACTGTAAAAAAAAACCCAGGTTGAGTGGAATGTGGTAGAAGTCGGGTGAGGCAAAGCTGTGGAGAGATTTCAAGGTGAGAACCAGGACTTTGAAATCAATCTACTGTAAGATGGGGAGTCAATGGAGCCAATCAAGGATGGGGTTGATGGGCTATCTAGGCAGAGGTTGATGGGCTATCTAAACAGTATATTGGTTTCCACCATTGAAGATTTGAAACTCAATACATCTCAATTGTAATTGCACTGACGTTGGAACAAAGTCCCTTTATTTAACTTGGGGCTATGAATGTTTAGGTATAGATATTCAATGACCTATTTACATCTTAACAAATACAAAGCAGGGCATGGCATCAGGAAGTACAAATATTCTATCGTATTTAAAAGATTAAGCAAAACAAAAGAATCATCTTTCTTGTCTCGTTTTACAGAGTCTTGGTTTACCCAATGATTAACCAACTGATTAATTAGTCAATGGATCTTTCAATCTACGTTCTCCAACACAATGTCACAGAACAACTGAGCATTTACAGCCCAACCACTCAAATCACACACTTTACAGAATCCTAATATCCTTTCCTTCCCTCACATTTCCCTCCCCTCAGTCCATTTCTCCTCTGAAATCTTCCTATTCATCATAAAGCAGTTTGTTCGCCTTCACTCTCAATGTACCAAGCCCCATACTGCCGCTTATACATTGACCAATTCCCCAAGGGTTCCTTCTGAAGATTTAATGTGCTTTTTTCCAATGTGCACCCACAAATCACTGATCATTGTTTTAGACTTGAAATACTTTTTTNGTAAAAAAAACTAAAAGAAATACGGAGACTTACAGTGGTGGGAGCGGGGGCAGGAGGTGGGGCGTAAGAAGGTCGTTCTGTAGTAAAACAAAAGAAAGTTACCATTTTATTTTTGTGCAAGTGCATTAATATCAGGACTATAAGACCAATTTCCAAAACATTTTCTCCAAAAAATCAGTAAAAAGAAATGCTGTCTGTTCCGCTCCCACAAGTCACTATATACCATTTCCTCTCCTCTACCTCTCCCAAGTGGTTCTGGTTCAGATAGCAAATATCGGCAGGTTTCCCAACATCAACACCTATCCTAATATATTTTTGTGCAATAATCCTTTAACTGAACGGGATTAAGCTTTAGTTTCATATAAACATTGGCACAGGCTGAACACCAGAGGAGAATCAGGCCCATTATTTAAAAAACATGCACAAGTGAAGCTTCAAAATTCTGTCATAACACTTGAACTTTCTGACTTTGAAACCAGTGAACATTTTCCTCTTCATTGTTTAGCTAAAGTTCATAATCACAATCGTTCTCTTACTTGACATGATGGGGCCAACTGTCTGCTACACACAATCTGAAATAAAAGGGAAAATACATCAGTACAAGATCTCTAGGAAATAGAATAGACTATCTAATCTTCAGCTCTAATACATCTTATACACATTTAAAACAAAGTTTGTTGCCTAGAGTATACTTTAAGAAGCAATAATATTGTATTATTGTTATTACCAGCATAATGTAATATTATCCTTCACATCTGAATTTTACACATAAGAGGTGGCAGTCAAAATAGTGCAGGCTAAGCATCCACAGGAAGTAATGTCTGTGTTAACCTAATAACTCAGAAGGCAAGATTTTAATCATGTCTATCAAGTCATTGGGAGAGGGGGTTATAATGGCATTGCCCTGAATCTTAAATTCAGTGTTCCTTTAGAGAGTTTCTGCAAATGGAAGAGTGTTTGCAGTGATCATACAGAGGAAGTAAAAGTAGGTCATAATCTGATTTTATGGCGCAGAGCGGTGGGAGCGGGCAGGTTGGTAACGGAGCCTGGTGCCGGAGAGGACACGGGATAATTGCTATACATTTTCTCAAAAATCCTCAATAGCCTTACTTCCCAAGTATCCACCTATTGCTACACATATCTGAACTGAGTATGTTTGTGTGCGCATACCATGTATTTTTGTGCGCATGTATACAATTTTTCAGTTGCATCCTGATCACAGGTCTGATAACAGCCTAAACGTTTCCAGCTACCATCATACTGCCTGCTTACAAGTAGATGGGTAAGAGTAATAATACTGTATTATTAATATTATAAAAGCAGTATATCTGACTGCCTTCTGATATTATTCACACTTCTGAATTTTACACATTAGTGGAGTCCTGTAGCTCAGTGGTTAGAAAACTCGCCTCGCAAGTGAGAGACCTGGGTTCGATTCCCAGCAGGGCGAAATGTTGGGCAAGTTTTCTTACTCCACGAGTCTCTGTTTAACTAGCAGTAAGTAGGAACCCGGTTGCTAATCGATTGATGGATCCTTTTCTGGGGTAATAATTCCTTCAAAAAAAATCGAAAATAATAAATTGGTCACTTCAATCCACGACTGTTTGTGGGACGCTGCTGTGCGCAATTAGCCGCTGCGTTTTGCCCACAAAATATACAGTGAATTAACTTTACAGTAGAGTGAAGCGCTCTGAAATGTCTCAAAGACGTGATAAGGCGCTGCATCAAATGCAAGGATTATTATTGTTACAAAGCAGACGAGGAGACATTTTTTTGACACAGCGAGTTGTTCGGATCTGGAATCCACTTCCTGAATGGGCGATGAAAGCAGATTCGATCACAACTTTCAAGAGAGAAGCGGACGGATATTCGGGGAGGACAAATTTGCAAGGCGGGGGAGTGGGATTGATTTGGGCAGCTCTTTCAAAGACCCGGCATGGACACGATGGGCAGAATGGCCTCCTCCTGTGCTGTATATTTCTACGATTGTATGATAAGAGGCAGTAGTCAAAATACAGTAGATTTATTTAGAGATGTATTCCCAATGTGGGGGAAGAGGGAAGGAACAGAGAATCCTCTCTCCACAGACACTCTCCTCAATGTGGATGGACTCCCCCTCAATCCCTCCGCCTTGCCCCCTCGTTCCCCCTTTTCAAGTCACGCCTTAACACCTCCTTTCCGACCGCGTTTACGGTCTCACGCACACCCCACCGGCTCGGAGTCCGGCTCCGCCACTGTTAGGCGCTCCGAGCCGCTACCCCGCGTGGAGGGCGCGATAGATGGTGCAACTTGTTGGTGTCGTCGTGGTCTGTGCCCCACCCGCGGTCCCCAAATAATAACACTTGCATTTGACGCAGCGCCTTCTCACGTCATCGTGAGAACGTCTCAGAGCGCTTCACGGAATATACTGTAAAGTGTAGTAACTGTGTATTTTGCGGTGGTGGTGGTGGGGGGGGTTGGGGTGAGGGGGGGGAGAGGGAAATTATCCCCACAAACTCCCCAATGTGGTGAGGGGGGGGGGGGGGGGGGAGCGGTGTGTGTGTGGGGGGGCAGTGTGTGTGTGGGGGGGGGGGGGCGGTGTGTGTGTGTGGGGGGCGGTGTGTGTGTGTGGGGGGCGGTGTGTGTGTGGGGGGGCGGTGTGTGTGGGGGGGGCGGTGTGTGTGTGTGTGGGGGGGGGCTGTGTGTGTGTGGGGGGGGGCTGTGTGTGTGTGTGTGGGGGGGGTCTGTGTGTGTGTGTGGGGGGGGCTGTGCGTGGGGGGGGTGGGGGGGGGGTTGCGGTGTGTGTGTGTGTGGGGGGGGCGGTGTGTGTGTGTGTGTGGAAGCTGTGTGTGTGTGGGGGGGGGGGGGGTTGCGGGTGTGTGTGTGGGGGGGGTGTGTGGGGGGGGTTGCGGTGTGTGTGTGTGTGGGGGGGGGGCTGTGTGTGGGGGGGGTTGCGGTGTGTGTGTGTGGGGGAGGGGGCGGTGTGTGTGTGGGGGGGGGGCTGTGTGTGTGGGGGGGTTGCGGTGTGTGTGTGGGGGGGGGGCGGTGTGTGTGTGGGGGGGGGGCTGTGTGTGTGTGGGGGGGGGGGGCGGTGTGTGTGTGGGGGGGGGGGGGGGGGGGGGGGGGCGGTGTGGGGGGGGGGGGGGGGTGGGGGGAGGGGGGGGGTCTTCCCCCACCGTTGCCTCCGGCCTCGGGCTGCAAGTGACTCCCGGTGACTGTCGAGGCTGGGCCCGCGGTGACGGTGCCGGTGGCTCGGGAGGTCCCGGGGGGGGGGGTCCTGGGGGGGGGGGGGGGGTCGGGGCTGAGGTGAACTAACGGTCAGTCGGACTCACGGTTCGAGCGGCCCTCGCGGCCTCCGGGCGCCGTCTATTGTTCTACCCCGAACCCGCGCTCCGCTCCGCTCCGCACATTCGACACCGGCCCTCAATCGAATCCCACCCCCCCACCCAAACAATAAAAATAAAAATCTCTCCCCCCCCACCCCCTCCCCAAACAAAACCCTCCGCCGGTGCACAGCCTCCCACTCGGCTCGGTCCGCCTATCGTTGTATTTTTTTCTGTCGCGCGGCGCGGAACGGTCGCCGCGAATCCGCCGCCGCTGATCGGAAACCCGCGCGCCCGCGCCGAGGCCAACGCGGTTTTGCGATTCGGAGCGCGAGATTCGACGGGATTCCAGCAAAGGGGGGGAGTGGGAGTGGGGGGTTTGTGGGGGGGGGGGGGTGGTGGGGGGGAGAGAAAAAAATATCACCAACCCTCGCGATCGATATTTACGGACCCGAATCGATGATCGAGAGGTTATCTGACAAATGGGATTTTTTTTGGGGGGCTATAGGGAATGTGTTGCTGAGGACAGTAAACTATTGGCTGGTGGGGGGGGGTCGAGGCTTTGAGCCTCTCCTGATGGTGACATAATAATAATAATAATAATAATAATAATAATAATAATAATAATTCTTATGATAATAATCATAACTACAGTAATAATAAGCCCTGACTCTGACCCGGTGCCTCCCGACGTCTCCCAAGCGCTCCGCGGGACACGCTGCGAAGTGTAGTGACTGTGCGGGGTTTTTTTGGGGGGGGGGGGGGGAGAGGGGGCGAATCCCGGCAGCCGATCGCTCCCGGCGACGTACCCCACGAACAGCCGTGGGTTGAAAATGACCCATTTATTGTCGTGGTGGTCGTCGTCGCCGCCGTCGTGGCTGTCGTTACTTTTTTCTCCGCAGGGATTTTGACCCCCAGAAAAGCCATCGGGCCCCGGGGACCGACCACCGGGTTCCGGCCGCCCGGCAAACGGAGGCGCGCGGGTGGAGCGAGGAGGCTCGCCCGCTGCGTGGCCCCCGCCCGGGAATCGGACCCCGGTTCCCTCTCGCTCGCGCTGCAAATCACAAGATAAGCTCCTCGTCCCCCTCTCTCTGGGGTCATCCACCGTCGTTTCTCCAGATGGACCTACCCCGTGGTTTCGATTCAGTCAGTGTTAGCTATCGCAATCGCAGAAAAAGTTCCCTGGATTCGGTTGCCCCAAACTTTACGCTTCACGGGTTGTAATTCTTTTGTTGTTATTTTTTTTTTATTTCGCTGTGTGCCAAAACCTTCAGATGCTGTGCCAACAAAGGAGAATGAGATCGGATCCACATACAAGAACTTGAACACTTTTTGCAAGACGCTTAAAAGCGTAATTATAATGCTTGCTTTGGATATAGTGCCTTGTCGGCTCTTCGAAACGTCTCAAAGCGCTTCACGAGATACACTGCAAAGTGAATTGACTATGTTGGGTGAGTGAATCGGGCAGCCAATTGCGCGCAGCAGTGTCCCACAAACAGTCGTGGCCAAATTATCAGGCTTGCCTTGAGCTCGTGCCTCTTTACTCACTCTCAATCCCCCTCGGCCCCGCACTTTAAGTTAGATTTAAAAGTAAAATGATATTTAAATTGTATATTAAAATGAAGAAGGGTCATGCCATTTCAATGTTTCCTTTCAGAAATACCAACCCAAGTTCCCATTACACAACCAAGCTGTTTCGTAAAAAATAATAATAATCCTTGCATTTGATATAGCGCCTTATCACATCTTCCAGACGCCTCAAAGCATTGCACAGGATACACTGTAAAGTGAATTGACTGTACATTTTGTGGGCAAAATGAGTCCAGTGTCCTGAAAACCCATTCCAGCTATGAATTACCCTCTGTGTAAACTGTCCTTTCTTCCCCACATCAGTGCTGTGATCCGCTCTGCCTTCCCCCACCTCCGCAATATTGCCCAACTCTGCCTCTGTCTCACCCCTCAGGCCGCTGAAATCCTCATACATACCTTCATTACATTTAGACTCGACTAAGCCAACTCCCTTCTTGTCAGCCTTCCCAACTCTTCCCTCCAAGCTGCAGATCATCCAGAAGTCTACAGCTCATGTCCTCTCCCGCATCAGACCCCATCACACCCACCCTCGCTCGGCTCCACTGACTCCCCATCCTTCAGAGGAGCGAGTTAAAAATCCTCGTCGTCACCTTCAAGGCCCTCCACGGCCCCCTTCTACCTCTCCGACCTGCTAACCCCTTATCAACCTGTCCGCTCCCTCCACTCAGCAGGCTCCAGCCTGCTCCATGTCCCCCGCCCAGCCCACCAGACCATTGGTGGTCGGGGCTTCAGCCTCTTTGCTCCCACCCTCTGGATCTCCATCTCACATTCCCTTCGCTTTGCTCCCTCTTTCCCCATTTTCAGGTTGCATCTGAAGACATGCTTCCTAAAGACCCTGACTGTTCAGCATCTTGGGATGTCCTCCTGATGTGGAAGGCGCTTGTGTGTAAAAAAAAAGTTCCTGTATTCTAACATTGCCCTTCACAGCCCTGAACCTGTGCTCTCTTAGCCTGCTGCCTTGGTATATCCGGTTATACCTCTAAAATGTCAGGGGATTGTGGAATGCTATTGATCTGGGTTCCTCACGTATCTGGGGGAGTCTGTGAATCTCCCAACTCACTTGTGCCAGACAGATTGGAAATAAAACAATAACTTGCACCTTTCACCTACGAAAATGTATCACAAGGATAGAGTTGCAGCCCAGTTGGGGGTAGATAAGGGGCAACAGCAGGAACATACTTTGCAATATGTTCTGTGAAGCGCTTTGAGACGTCTCAAAGATGTGATAAAGCGCTATACCAAATGCAAAGATCATTATTAAATTATAAGTCTGAAGTAATAAGAAGAAAAGATGGGAATTCTTAAAATATAATCAAAGCATTTTGTAATTAAAGTGTAACTGTGCCTTTGCATTGCACTGCTGGATTCAGTTACGGTAATCATGCCTTTTAACCATACGCTGCCTGGTCGAGTCATCGCAGGCAGTCAGTCCGAGTTCAGAGACAATGTTTATTAAAGCTCCAGCGCTTCTCCGGCTGATTTTCTCCTGAAAATGCTAACTCAGCAAACACTGGCCTGCTTCATGTCCCATCCTCTGCCCATTCCCACCGTTGGTGGGCGAGCTTTCGTTCTCTGGAACTTCCCCTCCCTGCTTTCAAGACTTATCTCTTTGACTGTGCTTTCCATCATCTTTCTCCTCCCCAATCTCTCCAGCTCCCCCCCCCCCAGGTTGCCCAGCAAATAGTTTTATAACTCATTTGGGCGTAGTTCAGCCCCACAGACATTAACCTTTAATACCTCATTTCTTTAATACCTCATTTCAAGTGACCTTTCTGTGAATGTGAATCAGAACAGTGAGTGTCTTCAGGCTGTTTTCATGTGGAGGGAAGAGGAAAGTAACAGTCAGGACTGGTCCTGTTCTGCCCTTTCTTGGCAGCCTGGGAAAGTGTTAACATATAGACATGGATTATTTTAATCTTACATTTTCCAGCAAGGATAACAAGACAATAATTAAGAGCAAAATCTTGGCTAATTTGTACCCACACCTTAGCTCACAGCTCTGAGGCCAATTGTAGCACCTCTAATGCTGAGACAGTAATTAGTTAATTCAACACAAACTTGGCAACAACACTGCTCAATGTGGGGCTGAGTAATACAGATGGGGAAAGTCTCAGGTTTCTGCTGAATTAACTATTTTTTTAAACTCCAAATCAGGTAACATCTCCTATCTTGCAGTTCAGAACTCCTCCACATCCAGTCGCTGGCCAGGACTGCTTTCCTCCACCTCCACCATATTGCCCGTCTCCGACAATACTTCATTCCACAAGCTGCTGAAAGCCTTGCCCATACCTTCGTCACCTCTCGGCTGGACTACTCTAATGCCCTCCTCGTCGGTCTCCCCTCCTCCAGTATTCACAAAATTCAACTCATCCAAAACTCCACCGCCCGCATTCTCACCCGCACTGAACTCCATACCCCGATCACCCCAGTCCTTGCCAAACTCCACTGGCTCCCTGTCACAGAGCAGATCAACTTCAAGATCCTCACTAGTGTTTAAATCCCTTCACGCCTTGGCATCCCCCTATCTCTCCAACCTCCTCTTTCCTAACAGCAGTACCCGCTGCCTCCGCTCTTACTGGCTCCGGCCTCCTCCTTGTCCCTCGAATCCTTCGCTCCACATCGGCAGCTGAGCCTTCAGCTACTACGAAGCTGTGGAACTCCCTCAATGCCTTTGCCTCACCCAATCTTTCCCCATTTTCAAGTTGCGCCTGAAGACCTTACTCTTCGACCGTGGCTATGGTCACCTTCCCACTTCCCCTGGCTTGGCATCGGGTTCCGCCATTGTTAAGCGCTCTGGGACTCCGCCCGGCGTGGAGGGCACTGTGTAAATGCAAGTTGTTGTTTTTGTAACAACAGCAACAATGACGAATTACATTTATTCAGCGCCTTTCATGTCTGGACGATGTCCCAAAGCCCTGGACAGTTGGGCTTGGATGTGAGCTGGGGGTTGGGTTCAGGAAGCAGGGAGGGTAGAAGGGAAGAGGCAGACAGCAATGCAGACATGTCTTGGTCAGAGGCCTTTCATGGGCAAGTTATGTGTACTGTCTCCAGGAGCATTCAAGACTTAATTGCCAATGAGTCACTCCTGCTTTCAGGAACTATATTTTTCCATCCTATTTGTGAATCCCATTCAACAATGAATGAAGCCACATGACGTTGGGTTGTTAATCTTTCAAGGAAACTCGCAATAAAATGAGGCAGTAATTAGGAGCGTCGTCAATCCAGACTTACCTGCAGTTCAGCAATCATTCATAGTTGGCCTGGTTGGTTGCCTCAGCACTTCACTGGGTATCTGACCTGTGTTTTACCTGACCTGGCAGTAGCATTAACAGCAACAACTTGCATTTGTACAGTGCCCTTCACGAAGGGTCACGTCTCGTAAGTGTTTTACGTAGACAGATCCAGGCCATGAGCTGATGGATGAGTTTGAGCCCCGTTGAAGAGATCGTTTTTTAGTCAGCTTCTGAAAATAGAGCTGGAGGGATTGAGGGAGATAGTT